ATATATATATATATATATTACACTAGTAGTTTGGATACTCAGCAGCTGCACACAATGGATTTTAGTGATGATTTGATGGATTGGAAGGCGTTCAGAGTGGCTTCTTATGGGATTAGCATTAGAAGTGTGACTGTTCCTTTCAGATCGGATTTCCTCCCATTGCGTTGCCTTTGCCATCTGTGCATTCGACGGGCGGTCCAAAAACATTATTATTTGAAAATAATAATAATAATACAAATAAGAATAATACCAATTGTAATAATGATGATGATGATGATGATAACAGTATGTAACAAAGTTTGAAAAGAATCATATTTTATTTATTTATTTATTTATTTATTTATATACAGTGTACACATATATGGCAAACATTAAATGCCAATTTTTGACATACAAATATATACAGACATACACAGAGGCTATTTAACCTTTTCTGGCCACCAGGGGGAGCTGTCACTTTCGTCGTCCTTCTGCGACGCTGATGAAGCATTTCCGCATTCCCCACATGCTTCCCCGCTGGAATGCTTTGCTGGAGTCTTCTTTATGGCCTCATAAATCAGTTAATTTAGCCTCGTCACACTTTAAGGTGGTACTTGACAGATGCAACTGTCTTTCGGGTTGCAAAGGTCGACAACAGGCTACACACAATTGGTTGGAAACCCACTCCAACCCGGGCTGGCTTCGAACTCATGACCTTTTGGTCAGAGTGATCTTAATGCAGCTGAGCTGCACCACAATCCCAATAATAATAACACTATGTAACAAAATATAATAATAATATTAATACAAATAATAGTAATAATAACACTATGTAACAAAATATAAAAAATATAATAATATTAGTACAAATAATAATAATAACACTATGTAACAAAGCTTGAAAATAATATTAATACAAATAATAATAATAACACTATGTAACAAAGTTTCAAAAAATATTTATACAAATAATAATAATAATAACACTATGTAACAAAATATGAAAACAATATTAGTACACATAATAATAATAATAACACTATGTAACAAAATATGAAAGTAATAATATTAGTACAAATAATAATAATAATAACACTATGTAACAAAGCTTGAAAATCATATTAATACAAATAATAATAATAACACTATGTAACAAAATATGAAAATTTTTGGATGGCCATCTGTCAAGGGTGCTTTGATGGTACTTTTCCAGCATGAAGGCAGAAGGGGGGTTGGACCAGATGGCTTTTGAGGGGTCCTTCCCACTCTAGAATTTGGTGATTCTGTCATTCCGTGGTTCCGTCATTCTATCATTCTGTCATTCCATGACTCTGTGATTCTGTCATTCCATGATTCCATCACTCCATCATTCAGTCATTCCATAACTCTGTGATTCTGTGAGTCTGTCATTCCATGATTCCATCACTCCATCCGTCAATCCATCACTCCATCATTCTATCATTCCATAATTCTGTGATTCTGTAAATTCTTCATTCTATGATTCTATCACTTCATTCTATGATTCTGTAATTCCATAACTCTGTGATTTCGTCATTTCGTCATTCCGTCATTCTGTGATTTTGTCACTCAGTGATTCCATCATTCCATCATTCTGTCATTCTGTGATTCCATCATTCCATGATTCTGTCATTCCGTAACTCCACAATTCTGTCATTCTGTGACTGTGATTCCATCCTTCCATGATTCCATAATTCCGTCACTCTGTCGTTCTATGATTCTATGATCCATTTGGGATAGTTGTGGAGTTGAAGGCTGAGCAACCCAGCAGACATGCCTTTGGTTTCCCATCAGAGAGGCTGTGTCAAGCCCTCCCTCCTCCACTTGGCAGATGGACGCCCCGCCCCATAGAGCTTTAAGCCGAGGAGATCTGGGTTTCCCTTCGGCCAGCAGAAGCGTCTGTGCTCGCAGCAGACCCAGAGCCAGGAGAAGAGGGACTTGCATTGGATGTGAGCCCAGGCATCTCCGCTCATGGCGTGGGGGTCGCAGGCCACTCCGGCCCTCTTTCTATACCCACCTGCCTATTTACAATGTCGGACGGAGCTGCATTGCCCTCGTTGGCCCTTCCGTCCAATCTCCGAAGCCACCAAAGGAGGGGTCGCTAACAGGTAAGTTGGGGCAAAGCTAACTGGTAGGCAGAGGTAATTTTCAATGGTAAGCAAACAGTATTTTGGCGCCCCCCCCCCCCAACCAATCATTGATATATATTTTCTGTTCCTCGTGGGAGTTTGCCATATTTGGTTCAATTCCATCATTGGTGGAGTTCAGAATGCTCTTTGATTGTAGGTGAACTATACATCCCAGTAACTACAACTCGCATATGTCATGGTCTATTTTTTCTGTTTGTCGTGGGAGTTCTGTGTGCCATATTTGGTTCAATTCCATCATTGGTGGAGTTCAGAATGCTCTTTGATTGTAGGTGAACTATACATCCCAGTAACTACAACTCACTCTTTGACTGATATATTTTTCTGTTCGTCATGGGAGTTCTGTGTGCCATATTTGGTTCAATTCCATCATTGGTGGAGTTCAGAATGCTCTTTGATTTTAGGTGAACTATACATCCCAGTAACTACAACTCGCATATGTCAAGGTCTATTTTCCAAGAGCCCTCAAGAGTGCCCCTGGGCACAATCAACTATACTGCAAATGCTTACTTTGTGTAATAGGTTGCTGAGGCTTCCCCCGGACTGCTAGGGCTGTTGTGAGCTGAGGGGGCGCTCCTCAAGTGGTGGTTGAGGGGCATTTGCACCCCTGGCAAAAAAAGTGTACTGCGACCGCTTACTTTGCGTAATGGTTGAGCCGCCCCTGCTGGTAGGTATGTGTGTTTTGTTTCTAAAGTGTTTCTAAAGTAACACTTTAGAAACACCAATGTTTCCTCTTCATCCTGGAAAGAAGTGACGAGTGGAGTGCCATCAGCAGGGTTATGGGCCCAGTCCTGTTCAGGATATTCATTAATGACTTAGATGAAGGGTTGGAAGGCATGATCATCCAGTTTGACACCAAATTGGGAGGGAGAGCCAGTACTCCAGAAGACAGGAGCAGAATTCAAAACCATCTTGACAGATGAAAGAGATGGTGGGCCAAAACGAACACAAGGAAGTTCAACAGGGACAAAGGCAAGATACTCCACTTAGGCCACATCTCTATTCTGCCACATCTGGAATCACACTGTGTCCAAGGGAGATGTTGACAAGCAGGAATGTGTCCAGAGGAGGGCGACTAAAATGATCAAGGGTCTGGAGAACAAGCCCTATGAGGAACGGCTTCAAGAGGTGGGCATGTTTAGCTTGCAGAAGAGAAGACTGAGAGGAGAAAGGATGAGGGCCATGTGAGGGGAAGTCATAGGGAGGAGGGAGCATGCTTGTTTTCTGCTGCCCTGGAGACTAGGACGCAATGGAGCAAGGGCTTCAAACTACAAGAAAGGAGATTCCACCTGAATATGAGGAAGAACTTCCTGACTGTGAGAGCTGTTCACCAGTGGAACTCTCTGCCTTGGAGTGTGGTGGAGGCTCCTTCTTTGGAGGCTTTGAAAAAGAGTCTGGATGGCCATCTGTCAGGGGTGCTTTGAATGCAATATTCCTGCTTCTTGGCAGAATGGGGTTGGCCTGGATGACCCACGAGGTCTCTTCCAACTCTAGAATTCTATGATTCTATGAAGCAAAGCAAAGCCAAAAAGGCTGCCTTTCGTCTCGCCTTGAGGAGAGGGAAGCAGCAGGAGAAAGCAGAGTTCACTGGGAAAGAGACGGAGAAAGCACATATTTCTGGGAATTGGTCTCTTCCAACTCTAGGATTCTATGATTCTCTGAAGCAAAGCAAAGCCAAAAAGGCTGCCTTTCGTCTCGCCTTGAGGAGAGGGAAGCAGCAGGGAGAAAGCAGAGTTCACTGGGAAAGAGACGGAGAAAGCACATATTTCTGGGAATTGGTCTCTTCCAACTCTAGGATTCTATGATTCTATGAAGCAAAGCAAAGCCAAAAAGATTGCCTTTCGTCTTGCCTTGAGGAGAGGGAAGCAGCAGGAGAAAGCAAGAGTTCACTGGGAAAGAGATGGAGAAAGCACATATTTCTGGGAATTGGTCTCTTCCAATTCTAGGATTTTATGATTCTGTTATGAGTGAAAATTGTGTTACTGTAACACAATTTCGTGACTTTTTTGTTCTTGTCATTGAGCGTGTTGGGGGAACTTTGGGGCTCCTTTCTCCCTCATTTTTAAGGCTATCATGGTGAAACTTGCTACGATTATACAGCACATTTACCACTCTTAGCCCGTCAGGTTTCAGAACATTTCACTTTTCACTTCTACGCAATGACACAAGATAACGCTTTGAATGTGATTTTCCTGTTTCTTGGCAGAATGGGGTTGGACTGGATGACGCACGAGGTCTCTTCCAACTCTAGGATTCTAGGATTCTATGATTCTATGAAGCAAAGCAAAGCCAAAAAGGCCTTGAGGAGAGGGAAGCACCAGGGAGAAAACAGAGTTCACTGGGAAAGAGACGGAGAAAGCACATATTTCTGGGAATTGGTCCCTTCCAATTCTAGGATTCTATGATTCTGTTATGAGTGAAAATTGTGTTACTGTAACACAATTTTGTGACTTTTTTGTTCTTGTCATTGAGCGTGTTGGGAGAACTTTGTGGCTCCTTTCTCCCTCACTTTTATGGCTATCGTGGTGAAA